TGCCACACTCAGAACAAGAAAAGGGGGCTTCTTGCGGTGTGGACTATCTGGTGTGTAATGAGTTTGCGATTTCTGGGTGAAAGACTTTCCGCACAAGGAACAATGAGTAAGGGCTTTTCCCCGGTGTGGACTCTGTGGTGTGTTTTGAGTTGAGATTTGAGGTGAAAGACTTCCCGCACTCAGAACACGTGTACGGCTTTTCCCCCGTGTGGATTCTCTCATGCCGGATGAGTTCTGATTTATTCGTTGAAAGACTTTTTGCACTCAAAACATGAGAAGGGCTTCCTCCTTGAAGATATTGTTCCACGTTACTATCTTTTGTAATATAATCTGAAGGCAAAAAGAAGATGTCCCTCCGAGGTATTACAGCCATTGTGTCCACCTGTTGGGAAGAAGTTTTATTATAATAACAGCATGGTTATTGTTCATATTTTGAACTCAGGAGTCATTACAGTATGTTGGTCTAGTAGTCAATTGATACCCCTGAAATCTCTAGCATGGAATAAAGTACAGCAATAACAACAATGCAAGGCTAGAAGTTAGATAAGATGTGCAATGCAACCAAATCAACTATAGCATGTTGGGTCAAGGTGTTCATACACTAAAAATTTTGTTAGGGCGAGGAATGACTATGGAAGTTCCTGCACCTCACTTGTTAAGAACCTTCCGTTATATCGAAAAAGTAGATGGAACTTTCATTTGGTGTATAGTACCTTCATCTTCTTTTGTTGGAAGTATGAATTAATATTGAGGAATGAGATGGACCTTTCATACGGTGTCCAGTATCTCCTCATTTGTTGGGAACATGACGTTATATTGAGGAATGGAGATGGACCTTTCATATTCTGTGCAATATCTCCTCCTCATTTGTTGGGAATATGATGTTATATTGAGGAATGGAGATGGACCTTTTCATATGGTGTACAGTATCTCCTCCTCATTTTTTGGGAACATGACGTTATATTGAGGACTGGAGATGGACCTTTCATATGGTGTACAGTATCTCCTCCTCATTTGTTGGGAACATGACGATGTATTGAGGAATGGAGATGGACCTTTCATATGGTGTACAGTATCTCCTCATTTGTGGGGAATCAGATCAACCATGGCACACTGGGGTCAAGGTGTACATACAATGATAACTTTATTGAGTTGAGGAATATATATACACATTTGCCACCTTAAAAGGGGGGGATTTTTTTGGGAACAATATTATTATAATACCATCTCGGACGGGGGGGCGGAGCCTGAGTATGGCGGCAGAGGAGAGTTCAATGTAGGAGCTCTCGGACGGAGCTCCGTTGTGCTGACCTCCCCAGGTCCCCTGTGATCCTCCCGAGGCATGCAGATAGCCTTGCGGCTTGGATCTTACCCTGGCCTGGCGGATCCCCGGGACGAAAGGTGGAGGTGTGCGGGGGGAGAGTGGAGAGCGGCTGCTGCTGACTAGCGGAGAGAGAGCGATTGGATGCTGGGAAACCGGCGCGAGCACGTGACCGGCCGCAAAGCACTCCTGGGAGTTCGGGAAGCCGGCCGGCCGGCGTTCTGCGGTGGGAGAGCAGAGCGGACCTGTTGGCCGGGGACTGGTGTATTCCCCCCCTATTCCCCTGAGACCCCCAAGGCATAAAGTAAGGCAAGAAGATACCCACTGAGCCCTGGTCAATTGAAGATAAAAGAGACTCTGGAGGGTCCCCCCCCCCTCTCCATAAACAAAGACCCTATGCGACCTGAAGGTGAGAGCATTCAGCGGGGTCATTGGATGAAACACACGAGGAGGGTGAGTGATTTAAGCTGAAATCTTCCATACACTAACTATGACGCATTACATGTCTCCCTAAAGAGTAGCAGGGGGTAAGTGAAAGGGGGGACCCCCGGTGACTGCTAAAAAGGTGGAAAAAGATTTGAGGACAGAACAGCTCAAAAAGACCAGCCGGGGAATAGTACAGTGACTAGTATACAAGAACTTTGATTCTCTCCCCCCCCAAATCCACGAATTTTATAATAGAAGAACAAAAGAATAAAAGCTACAGAGAAAATGAAAAATAAAAGTGTAAAAGGAAGTGGGCTTAAAGGGTCCCAGACTGGTACAATTAAAGAATATACTTCCCAAGGAAACGTAACCCCAGAAAGATCCCAGAATAGGATTGAAAGAGGAGAAGCAGATTTCAGCATGGAAAATAGCCCAAGAGTATCACTAGGCCTGGATACCAGTAATCAGCAATCATTAGGAAATATAGAGACAGAAAAAGACCTACAAATACCTAATAAAAAAGAAATGGCAGAAATGTTTAAAGAACTGGAGAGAACAATAAAACAAGAAATGGTAAATATCCGAAGTGACCTGGGACACCTGCTGGTGAGAGTGGAGGAAACGCAGGAGAAAGTTAAAAATCAGACCCAGACTATCTCTGAGCTTGAAAAAGTAATAATTAACATAGGGAAAGCCCAAGAAAAATTGATATATAAAGCTGAGATACAAGAAAATAGAGACAGGAGGAGAAACGTCATGATACGTGGGGTCCCAGAGAACTCTAAGGGAGAAAACCTGCAAGAAGTGGTTTGTAAAATATTAAATACTATAACAGACAACACTGAAATGGAAAAGACTAAAATAGAAGGAATTTTCAGAAAAGGAAACATCCAGAGATACCTGGGGAAAGAAAGGCCAAGAGACATTATAGTTAAATTTTATGAGTTCCGAGATAAAGAAAAAATATGGAAGAAGATCAAAGGGAAACCAGCTATTAAATATGAAGGTGGAGATATACAGATATATGCGGACTTGGCCCCAGAGACTCTGTGGAGAAGGAGAACTTTGAGACCCCTATTGGAAAGGTTAAAAGAACATAATGTGCAATACAGATGGGGGGTCTCCTGAATGTTTAATAGGATGGAAAAATGGGGTTACGGCGTACCTCAGGTTCCCAGAAGATCTGAAACATTTTTTGTGACAGTTTAAAAATACAAAGAATGGAGATTCCAGGCTGGGAAGAAGATCAATGGGAATTTAGAATGAAGAGAAAAGAGGATTGGCAACTTGTGGGGGGGAGGGAGGGGGGGGAGAGAGGTGATGGAGGAAAGATAAGGTTGTTTTTCCGGTTTTTTTTTTTTTTTTTTTTTTTTCTTTTTTCCTCTACACTGGTCTGCCTTCACCCTATCGCCCCTGCCTTACGGTGCTGGAGATGAAACTAGGAGGGACCAGGGGAGCTATGGGAGGTCGGACAAGGGAAAGACGTCCATGCCCAGAGTTTTTAGCCCAAGGTTTAGATCAAAAGTGGAAGTTTATTCCATAAATGATCAATAGGCAAATGATAGGCCTAAAAAGAGGGGGAGGGGGGTGGGGGGGAGGGGAAACGCTGGGGGGGTGGGTAAGTGGAGAGGAGGGGTATTTTTCCTGCAAAAAAAAAAAAAAAGACATAAAAGCAAGTGAGAAGGGAGAAGAAAGGGAAGAGAAGATTTATGGAAGATGGAAGAGATTCAGTTTATAACATATAACGTAAATGGGTTGAACTCCCCTGGGAAGAGATTTAGACTGTTTAAAGAATTACATCATAGAGCAGCCTCAGTAGTATTCTTACAGGAGACACATCTTGAGATAGAATCAAATGTTAGGCTGAGGTCCAAAAATCACCCAACATGGTATTATGCAGATTCCCCGGTCAAGAGAGCGAAGGGTGTTGCAATAGGTATGGCAAAGAGTACTAGGTTTGAGCTGGAAGATAGAATGACAGACCCAGAGGGGAGATTTTTGTTCTTAAAGGGAAAACTACAGGAGATCGAATGTACACTGGCCAATATTTATTGTCCTAATAAAAGCCCAGAGATATATCTGAAAAAAGTGCTGAGGAAGTTGATGGACTTCAAAAAAGGTCGTTTGATTCTCGCTGGGGATTTTAATTTCTGTATGGATCCACAAAAGGATGCTACCTCCCATGTACAGAGAGAAGGAAGTAGGGCCCTGAAACTCTTGAAGAAAGAACTACATATAAGTCAATTGGTAGATGCCTGGAGAATTACACACATGCAAGATAGAGATTATACCTTTTTTTTCAAACATGCATAAGAGGTATTCAAGATTAGACCACATATTAATAGAACATCAATTAATTGAACACCTAGTTCAAGTTGAAATAGAGACAATCTCTCTATCGGATCACGCCCCAGTTATAATGAAATTGGAATGGGGGAAGGGGAAAACAGGAGGGCTGGGCTGGAAACTGAATGAGACACTATTAGTAGAAAAGGAAATAGCCCAGAAAATAGGGGAAGAGATTGAACGGTATTTCAAGGAAAACGAGACAGGTGATGTGTCCATAGCTACAGTGTGGGAATCTCATAAGGCATACATAAGAGGAATATTGATAGCGATTGGGGCAAGAAAGAAAAAAGAAAGAAGAGAGAAAATGAGTAGGCTCTTAGAAGAAATAAGTATACTAGAACAACAACACAAGAATAGAATAATAAAAGAAATAGAGTTGAAGTTAAAAAAAAAAGAAAGAAGAATTGGAAGGTGTAATAGAAGAGGAGAGGAGAAAAGCACATAACAGGGTTTTGAGCGAGAGATATAGATGGGGAGAAAGATTGGGAAAATATTTGATGAGGGCCCTGAGGAAAAAGAAAATAGAAATTATATAGAAAAAATAAAAGATGTTAAGGGGAACCTGAAACACTCAAATAGAGAAATCACCAAAGTTTTTATGGAATATTATAGAGATCTGTATAATATAAATCCCCTGCGGAAATCAGAAAATATAGAAAGTGAGAGGAATCAAAAGAGAAAGAAATATCTAGAGAAGGCTGGGTTACAAAAATTAAGCGAAGTCCAATTGAACTCCCTTGATGCAGATATCTCACAAGATGAAATAAAACTAGCTTTGAAGGGCACAGCGTCTGGGAAAAGCCCAGGACCAGATGGTTATACTGTGAGATATTATAAAAAATATAGTGAAATCTTAGTACCAAAACTTAGAAAATATATGAATGCATTAGGTGGAGTGATGGAAGTAAGAAAAGAATCGCTACAAGCTCAAATGGTGCTTATTCAAAAAGAGGGAAAAGATGCTACACAGTGTTCGAACTATAGACCTATTTCATTATTAAACACTGACACTAAGCTATATGCAAAGGTCTTGGCAAATAGATTGAAAGAGCTAATGCCGGAATGGATACATCAGGACCAGGTGGGTTTTGTTCCCGGGAGGGAAGGTAGAGATAATGGGTTACGA